CCCCTAGCACTGCCTCCGCCGGCACGCCGGCCGGCCGGCCGGCCGGCGGACTATGAAAGCAGCCAATCAGCTGAATCACTGAATTACGCCATTTCGGACGAGTTATCTGGAAATGGTTGCTGCTGCTGCTTACTGCTACATAAAACCGGAGGCGTTATTATGATGTGCCAGCTCGTCGTCTAGCTCTTCGGTTTCGGTCTGCGTCAAATCGAAGTCCAACACTCTTAACAGAGATTCCATCAGTGAACAGAAAAGAAAAAGTAAGAAAAAAAAAAGATAAAAACGTAATTCAAATGCATATGAAGTATGTTCAGCAAAAAAAAAAATTGACATGAGGGAATATTGACTAGCTCGATCACTACCCTAGAGTGAGCCATGCTTTGGACACCAACAGTGAATAGCCTAAATACATCCATTCGGACCAGACGGCCTGAAGGTCGCTCTCTTCTTCTTAACTCTCTCTCCCAAAAAAATTCTACCAAAAATTTAAAGATGATTAGAAGGGCCAACAATCAGGAAATATTAAAAGAAAAATATTAAATGTTGAATTTGTTGTACTGCGTTTTATTCGTGCTTTACTTAAATTATATATTATCACATTATTATTGAAAGGTTCGAGGGCCATTTCGGTGCAACTTCGAGTTTTACAGGTCTCGATATTTTCAGTGGGTACTCGAAAAAAGGGCGGAGGTGGTATAGTGGCAAGAGGCGCACTACCACACACGCATGGTCCCTGCTTCGAATCCCAGAACGATACTCGCCTATGCCAACCAAGCCTTCCGTCCTTCCAGTGCCAGTCAATTGGTGTCAGACTCTTTGTATGGGTCACATACGCTTTNGATTCTGAGTGGAAGTGGAACGCGTGGCGCATCCCTCATACGGAATCGATTGACGCCGAGGGACTTCATCCTTGAGACTCTAGAAGAAGTGCGATGGTTCCCTTTTTCACATGCCTCAGCACGGCTCACTGACCCTACCCTTCAAAATGCAGGTATTGATTCAGGAGAGGATTCTTGAACTTGTAAAATTAACTGCTACCGAAAATCAGAGCGACCTCCCTTGATAAAACGTCCCTCTAGTTGGTGAGAGCTAGTTCGGCTATACGAATGTTGAGTAAAATTTTACAATCAAATAAGCGAAAACACAGCAGGAAAACATCTTTAACTAACCTCTCCGTATGATCGAATAACCCATAGTGAACCTCGTATTTGGACAACTTTTCGTTCATTAAAACCATTGGCTTGAACCTACAAAGAAAATTAAAATCGTGAATGGACGGTTAAGCGGAAAAGTAATTAGCTCCAGTTTTTAATCAGCATAACCTCAAAATTTTCAGTTTTTTTATTTCAATATACTATTATAAATCCTGATCCCGATATATATGCGTAATCCAGCCAAATAAGTTCACAATGTTATTGGTAGAGTTCACAGTCACTCTGAGACATCAACTTTAAGTTGAATAATGGAAGCTGTGAAGCAGAATAAAGCAAAAATGGCGAAATAAGGGCGAGAATCGGCCGATTTAATGAAATACAAAGTTTAAAAGAGTAATAAGAAAGGAGGTTGCATGAGGTTATGTGTCTAATTGTCTGGGTGTCTCTCACAAACGCGTGCTATGCATCGGCGTACTGATGCTCCATTGCGAATGGTACAACTGAACAAGGTTCTTATTGGTTGAGACCTTTTTTGGGTGTGTTTACGGCAACAAAGCCAATACAGGAGCTTTTTTAAAGCCCAGCCGAGATCGTTTTTCGACCCAGCAGTGTCCCGGGTCCTATCCGTGGAAGCCACTGGTTTACCTTAGAAGGAACCCTCAAAAACGATTCCGTCGTGATTCATGCCTTTTGATTGGACGATTGATGATTTCTAAAAAATCCCCTTCCATAGAAACAGACTACTAACGATCGCGAGTATACATTGCAGTAATGAGTAGGTACCAAGGCATGTTGGCCACTGCTGAGGATTTATTCGATGTTGTTCCCCAAGGTGATAACAGCATTGTTGAAGTGTGTACCTATCGCTGTCAAGTTTTTCTTAGAGGGAGCACCTGTAACTGCATCCGTCGCCTTCTTTTACACTATGACGCAAATGCTTGAGAGCATCATCTTTTTTTTGCAGGTTTCAAGGCATGTGCAGGAAACCCTAGCAGAAACATCCAGGAAAGTCTGTGAATTTGGATTATAAAAATGATCAGGAGGCCACACTGCTTGATTTGATCGTGCCGCATAAATAAACCAATAATAAAAGAAAAATAAACAACCGGACCGAGAGATAGGCAAATGAAAGAACAACAAAGGCAAATAAACAGCTGGCAGGAAGCTCGCCCTCAGTGAGTGGAGACGGAGTGCGCCGTGCACTCGAATGTTCTCATAGTTAGGAGTGAATCGACTTATATGAAACAATTAGTTTATGGAGCTACCCGATTGCTAAGTTAAGGTCTTGACCCTTCAGGTAAGCAAGAGGCGGAAAACGCCGTAAATGAGCGCGCGGTTGCAAAGCGGTTTGGTCTTTGGGAGAGGAAAACGAAGAGAGGAAATTTTCTTTGTACGGATAAAAACATTTATTTCCTGAATGAAAAGAATTCTTGTCACCAGATGACTCAACCACTGACGGGTATTTAGCAATATTCAATCTTATGAAGCGTGTCGTTGTAAAGTACCGCTTCTAGACACTAAGCCACCTTAGTTTGATAGTCTTTTAAATACTGAGGAGCCGTGCCTCCTACTATTATGATTTATAGTAAACCTTCAATAAAGCTGTTTGTAGTAAGGTTGAGAGCGAATACACGAATTCAGGGATCCCCGTCGGATTTTCCATGGAGTCAAAGCTCGTTTAAATGTATGCCATCAAACTTTTTACTGGATTACTTGTTTGAAGAGAGCAAGATAGCCAATGGATCAAAAATTGCCTTATTGGACGCAAGCTGTAACTCACTTGTGTCCCCAGAGAATTTCATTGGGAAGGAAAGATGTTCTGGCTTGAAATGTCATACCCGTCGCTTCGACAATACCCTCGACAGTCATTATTAATTCGAATTCTGCCGACTGAAAACATGAATCGATTAACTTTCATTTACCAGTAACTAATGAAATAAGCGAAACTGACGTGTAGTGATTCCCTTGTAATGCCATGTAATGGGCTAGATTCGTCGATTACATGCCTTACAATTATGGGCCTGAAACCGGATTTTATTGGAAAAAGGGAAAGGAAATTGATTCTCATAATGGCAAGCGAAAGGGAACGCACCAGAGAAGAAGTATCCGATCCCAACCACTGTCGTAACCAACATTCATATCCTTTACCCCTATTAATTCTCGATCTCCACGCTGAAACGGGAAATATTTTTCTTCTACAAAGCACCCTGACTCCTGTATTCCTCCTACTTACATTATTTATCCTGCTGCTGGCCATATACAGCCGTACATGAGACTCAGCCAGAAACAGCTTTTCTTGGATGTCTGCCAAGCGAATCATTAGTGCTGGCCGTCGGTCGTGCTCATCCAGCGGCCCGATGACAGCCATGCGTGAAAATCGCATTTCCTCAAAAAAAGACCTTCGGAAGTGTTTTATAAAAAATGACATTCGTTCTATGACATCTATAAAATGCGATTTTGAGATTCATTTTGGATTTTTCACGCGTACGAATCGTCACTGCTCGATCTTTCCCCCTTCCAGTTCATAAAATGAAAATTCAAATGAAATCTAACTAGGTTAAAAGCCAAAACAAAAAATAAACAAAAGGTTCCAAGTAGCGTAAATAGCAAATGCTAATGGATATCATATCACTTACTATTATTATCATTATGGGTTTTAATAAAGGCTACCGGCTCAGTGCACCGCCGAACCTACAGCCACATTACACACGGGTACACACCATATCGTTCTTTTCAAAAAAAAAAGGGGAGGACAGTCGTATAGTTGATCTACAGTTAACACTTAGGAGTTGGAATTGGTAAACAATTACTGCTTCTGGAATTACAGTTTACGATCATTCTGAGGTATTTGGCTTGCGCGAAATAATGAAAGTTATGGTGCAAACTATTGCGAAAATGGCAAAGGAAGTGCAAAAATCATTGGATTTTAAGAAATATGAGGTCCAAAAGAGGCAATAGGGAAAGGGATTGTACGAGACTATGTGTCTGTAACCGCCTGGGTGTCTCTCACATAAGCGCACTACTCGTCGGCGTCCTAGCGCTTCCTTGTTCATGGTGCAGCCTCAACAAGGCCATCACTACACGGCCACTTCTGGGCGTGTACGTCGGCCATTCCGGTTTTGGAGCCCTTACAACGTTTTGAGGCCGTTTTCGACTTGACGATGTTCCACATGCAATCTATCCTTGGGGGCCGCAGGTTCATCCAGGGGATAGATCTCAAAACCATCTTGCTCATGAGTTGTGCCTTTGAACCTTACAAAAGAAAACATACAACGCTATCAAAATCTTGAGCCCTTTGGATCATTGAATACAGTAAGACATCAATCCGTAGCCAGAATGAGTGAAGCAGAAAAAAAAGAGAAGATATTGACTAGTAGAGAATGCAAGAACAGAACTTTGGCCACGACAGTGCGAAACGTACAAGTTAGAGAGAACAAAGTAAACCGAAACTGAGTTTAACTTACTTGTTTTCGTTTCTTTGGTCGTAGTACTTTGGCAAGAACGATGCCGGTAAGTACTGTTTGGAGAAACACGCCAACTACTAATTGAATCAGAAGTATCACGTATGCCGGAGGGCAATTATCCGTCATATACCTGAAACGGCAATAATCATTCCGTACTAAACCTCGTTCCTGTGTGAATCTTTTTCTAGACTTACCGGAAGCCGTAACCAATAGTATGTTGGGATTCCATGCTGAAAAAATTGGGTATAGAAACATCAAGTTATTCAGGACAAACAAATTATTTTAGCTATTACCTGAACAAAAAAGCAGTAACAAAGCTGTTCACATTTTCGATACAGTGTCGATCAGTCTGCAAACAGCAATTTTCAAGAAAATAAAAATTGAAAAACAAGCAAAAAAGAGTGAAAGCGCAAATCCAGTTCATAGGAAAATCATAGCGAGTCTCATCGGTACACTCCTCATTGGTGGGTTATCAAACTGCAAGTTTTCGTGTGAGCACCAGCCAATCAGAAGCGCCGTGAACATTTCGGCTCAATTCTCCTAAGGACCAACGCCTTTTTTTGCAAGGAAAACACTCAGGCATGTCAAAATCCTTAGATTTGAAAAAAAAAACAAAAAAAAAAGAAACAAAATTCAAAATGAAGATTTACGAAAAAAAACTTTTGGTAACAGCAAAATCCACCATTTTTCGCTGGATCTGCGCGCAAATTTAGGCTTTTACTTGTTCACCTGCAACCTGCGAGTTCAGTGGGGTCCACTGCCCTCGTAATGGCGACAGTCGAAATCCAACGAATTCAAAGCGGCTCGTAAAAGCTCAACTAAGAGTTTCTTTATCGTTCAGCCTATTTTCTAGACTTACCGGAAGCCGTAACCAATAGTATGTTGTGATTCCATGCTGAAAAATTTGGGTATAGAAACATCAAGTTATTCAGGACAAACAAATTACTTTAGCTGTTACCTGAACAAAAAAGCAGTAACAAAGCTGTTCACAT